TCAAAAAAAAAAAAAAAAAAGAAAAGAAAAGAAATAGTTCTTAAGCTGTCAGTGACACTAATATTTTACACCAGTCTTTAGTCTTAATCTGGTACAGGAGAGAAGTTATGCATTTGGAGGTTTAGGGGAGCTGGAGATCACCCTTAATACCCCTTTAGCTCTTATGTGGTTCTTTGGCTGGATCTAGAGACCAAATTGATAACCAGGTAGTTTAACAGAGAAAAGCAGATAAAGGGACTAGTTTTATATGCATATGGAGATCTTCACAAGAGCATGAAGTCCTATAAAGTGGCCAAGATTGGTATTATTTAGACAAAGAATGATAAATTTAAGAAGAAATGACAGAACAAAGAAAATCTGGCTAGAGCATGGTAAATTTCTGGGGGAGTTAGTAGGAGATATATGGGGAGGTATAAAACCAACAGAAGATAAGGTTACTTCACTAAGTGTATTTATTCAGGTCCATTCTAGCCCCTAATCTCCAGGCTGGTAATAAGAGCTATTTTCTCACCCTGGTATGGGAGGATACCCCTCTCAGAGGAATTTGTATGACTTGTTATATTCAGGGAGAGACAGGTCAGCTAGTACTTTCTGAAACTACAATTTCTCCAATGGCTTCAGTTGAAAATAATCAATATACCAATCCAGTGTATTTTGAGATGGCATGTCCTTCACTCCTTCAGGGTCATGCACATACATACACTTCAGGGAAAGTGAAGGAGATATCTCTCTGCTTTTTCAGATGTGTAGTTTCAGAGACAGCTGAAAGGTAAGGAGCATGGGGAGCGGCAAGGTAATGTCTCTGACCAGGTTGATGGTCTCCTTTTTCTCTCTTAGTACAAGCAAATGCTGGTGAAAGCTTTCACGGAGCAAATTCTGCCCCACTTCTCCATGGAGGACCCCCAACGTCTACTGCCAGTTGTAGACAGAGTCTACCCAGTGACCGAAATTCAAGAAGCTCATAAGTACATGGAGACTAACAAGAACCTGGGCAAAATCGTCGTGGAGCTGCCTCAGTGAAGGAGCAGGGGTAGTACAGGACATGGCCACCCCAAGCCTTTCCAGAGCAAACTTGGGGAAGATTCACAGTAGGTCAGATGCCACTCCGAGGTCCGCCTCGATAGCTGGTCAGTGTAAAGCCTAAGAAAATAAAAGAGTGGACTTGAAAGGTGGCACGCTCTGTGTGCGGTCCCAGCGCACGGAATGGTGCTGCCAGAGGGTGAGGTGGAGTCGGGATGGTTCACCGTAGGGGTTACGGGAGACGCCGGATCAGCTGATGTTCCAAAAGAGGTACAAGCCAGGACCCGAGATTTGGGGTATAGTTAGAGTCAGCTGCGACACATGCCTTCAGGTTTCATCTTGCACACTGTTAGAGGCCCATGTCCCCTTTCTGGTACCCAGCTCTGGACTGCGCGCACCGCGCCCTTGCGCAGCACACTTGGCTCGGCCCCACCCACCTCCCGCTACTCATCTGGGCCCGCCCAGTCTCTCACCGCCCTCTCAGGCCCCGCCCCACCTCTCACCCGCATCGTCAGGCCCTGCGCCCCGCCGCCACTCACTTAGAGCCCGCCCTGTCTCTCACCGCCCTGTCTCTCACCGCCCTTCTCAGGCCTCGCCCCCTCTCCCCCACATCCTCAGGCCCCGCACCGCCCCCTACTCACCTAGAGCCCACCCGGTCTCTCACTGCCGTCCTCGGGCCCCGCCCCCTCTGGTCAGGTCCGCGGAGAATGGAACGCCTTCCTTTCTGGGGGCCCCGCCCTTTCCGGGAGAGAACCCGGAAGCGTTTTGGATGTTAGCCCTTCCACCTTCCGGCCTATCTCGAGTTCATTTTGCGCTGGTGTCAATTCGAGGCGGGATACTACGTCAGCGCGTCTCGGCGTGAGACGGTGGTAGTCCGGCGGTACCATAACAGCTTCCGGCGGAGCCTGGATGTCAGGGTCAGTCTGACGCTGTGTCGCGCTGGAAGCCAGGCGAGCTCCGGACTGTCCACAGATTTCGAGTGTTTGTCGCGGTAACCTCATCAGCCCGCCAAGATGGCGATGCAAGCGGCCAAGAGGGCGAATGTGAGTATCGTGGCCTTCTGCGGAGGAAGGGGGAGGACGTACCTCGCGGATTGTTTTGTAGCGTGGGTCAGAGCTTTCTTGCCTCTCCCCAGTCCTCAGGGCCGGGAAGCCCATCCTGCCAGTGGGGGTTATATCCTGGTCCCATCTTCAATGCTCTTTGAGCCTCGTTTTCATTCTCACCCTCTCCCCCTCTTTTTTTTTTAAGACACAGTCTCAAGCTGTTACCCCGAGTAGAGTTTCGGGCGTTTTAGCTGACAGCAATCTCGAACTCCTAGGTTCAAGCGATCCTCTTGCCTCAGTTTTTCTATTTTTAGCGGAGACGGGGACTCGCTTTTGTTCAGGTTGGTCTCGAACTCCTGAGCTCAAGCAGTTCACCCGCCTCGGCCACCCAGAGTGCTCGTTCTCACCGCTTTGAGAGTTCGTTCATTCTCTATTCTAGTGTCAGTGGTAGTGTTTGCCCTCCAGGCTCTGCTGCTTGACCTGCATCTAGGACCTGGCGTTAGGATCTTCTCCTTGGCCTAAAAATGCATAGTACAGATCAGTCCTCTGTAAATATCTAGATAGTTAAACGGAAGCGAGAGCTTGGGATCGATTCTCCACAGATCATGGAGTTTGGGGGATTCTTCATTAATGTATTAATTCAAACAATGCTTCTTGACCTGCTGTGTCCCTGACTTGAGAGATGGTAAGCAATTCATCACTTACAGTTATTGAACACTAGCCAGACACTGGTTTTAGGTGTTGATGATACAGCAGTGAATAAAACAGAAAAGTCCTGCTTATCTTCTAGTGTTTGAGGTAGGGGGTTGTGGAAACCTAACCAAAAAAAAAAAAAAAAAAGACCTCAGGAAAGAGTAGTCCACTGTAACATGCTTAGAGGTGTAATAAGATGAAGACAAATAATTGACCATTGGATGTGTTGAGACTTTTGGTGACTTTTTTTTCTTTTGAAACAGAATCTCACTTTGTCACCCGTGGTAAAGTGCTGTGGCGTCACAGCTCACGGCAACCTCCAGCTCTTGGGCTAAGGCTATTTTCTTGCCTCAGCTCCCGAGTACCTGGGACTACAGGTGCCCACCACCATGCCCAGCTTTTTTTGTTGCAGTTGCCACTGCTGTTTTAGCTGGCCAGGGCCGGGTTCTTGGCGACTTTGATAGGAGTCTTTTCTTTTCTTTTCTTTTTATTGAATAGTAACTATGTACATTAATGCACTTCTGGGGTACAGTGTGGGGTTTTCACACACAATCCAAAACACTTACATCAAACTAGTTAACATAGCCTTCATGTCATTTTCTTAGTTATTATTTTAAAACGTTCACATTCTACTCTCAGAAAGATTCACTTGTACCCTTGTAAGATAAACCTCAGAAGTGATCCCTCCAATCCCCCTCTCGATAGGAGTCTTTTCAATGGATGAAAACTTAGTTGCAGGCTCGGCGCCTGTGGCTCAAGTGGCTAAGGCACCAGCCATATACACCTAAGGTGGTGGGTTCGAATCCAGCCTGGGCCCACCAAACAACATTGATGGCTGCAACCAAAAAATAGCTGGGCGTTGTGGCAGGCACCTGCCTGTGTTCCCAGCTGCTTGGGAGGTGGAGGTTGCTGTGAGCTGTGATGCCACGGCACTCTACCCAGGGGACAGCTTGAAGCTGTCTCCAAAAAAAAAAAAAAAAGAAAAGAAAAGAAAACTTAGTTGCAGGTGGATGAAAAGGTGGTGGGAATTGAGAAAATGGAGATGACAAAGTGAGCCCTTTCCATGAGTTTTCATGTAAATAGAGATAGAGAAATTGGGTGATTGTTGACTTTTTAAAAGGTGGGTGATATGCATTTATATGCCAGTGGGAATGATCCAGTAGAGTGGGAGAAACATGATATGTAAGAAGGTGGGTTAAGTTCAGGAGTGAAAGTTTTCAATAGATGAAGGATTGGCATAGTAATAGAAGGAAAGGGGGTGGATATAGATGGTATGTAATTTGGTAGAGTTAGTGATAGGAAGATAAAGTACTTACCATTTGTCATATTTATTTTCTCCAAGAGAAAAGCGACAGGGTCATCTCCTGGGATGAGCAGGAAAGAGGGCACAGCCCAACCCAGATGTTTGAAGGTGTGGTGGTGGTAAGGTTTGAGGATAGAAGAGAAAGTACAAAAATGTTTTTCAGATGAGAAAGCACATTTGCTCAGGAATTGTATTATGATTGGCAGTACTGTTCATTCATTTGAACTTAACCTTGAATCTTGAGATCTATAACTATTGTATTTGTTTACCATTTTCACCATTGCTAGTTTGAGAGCAGGGAGTAAGTACTTTATTCATTCATTTGTGCAATTCTCAGTTGAGAAGAAATAGCCAGAGAGTGCTGGCACCTGTAGCTCAGTCAACAGGGCGCTGGCCACATACATCTAGGGTAGTGGGTTTGAACCCGGCCTGGGCCTGCTAAGCAGCAATGACAACTGCAACCAAAAAATAGCCAGGTGTCGTGGCAGGCACCTGTAGTCCCAGCTACTTGGGAGGCTGAGGCAAGAGAATCACTTAAGCCCAAGAGTTTGAGATAGGTGTGAGCTGTGATGCTACGGCACTCTACCCAGGGTGTTAGCTTGAGACTCTGTCTCAAAAAAAAAAAAAAAAAGGAAGAAATAGCCAGAGAGTTAGATAGAAACAGTGTGCCCAGAACTTAGGTTCAAGGAAAGTAGAAACCTTGTCTTTTTTTTTCCTTCACTGTGTATTCCTAATACCAGCCTAGCATATACATAAAGAAGGCCCTTAATAAATATTTGTTGAATGAAGAAGGTCCAAGTAAGTATTTTGTTTGTGTAAGGTTTATCAGGATATGAGCAACTCCTCACATGAGGAAGACGTAGCCAATAGTAAGGAAAAGCCTGTACATTGGAAAGCAAGAAAGGACCATTGCTAGGACAAGTTCCAGGGAAGACCAGAGAAAGGTCATCAGTGAAAGTTTTATTATCTAGCAAACAGTAACAGTTCCCTTCTTTCTTTCCTACACATTCTGAGGCATGAGGGCTTTTTTTTTTTTTTTTTTGTAGAGACAGAGTCTCACTAAATTTACCATCTTTGGTACAGTGCTGTGGCATCACTCCAGCAACCTCCAGCTCTTGGGCTTAGGAGATTCTCTTGCCTCAGCCTTGCGAGTAGCTGGGACTATAGGCGCCTGCCACAAGCCCAGCTATTCTTTTTTTGTTGCAGTTTGGTCAGGGCCGGGTTTGGACCCACCACCCTCCGTATATGGAGCCGGCACTCTACTCACTGAGCCATAGGTACCGCCCGGCATGAGGGCTTTTTTTTTTTGCAGTTTTTTGGCCAGGGCTGGGTTTGAATCTGCCATATGGGGCTGGCACCTTACTCCTTGAGCCACAGGTGCGGCCCCTTTTCTTTCTTTCTCTTTTTTTTTTTTTTAATTTTTTTTATTTTTTGGCATGAGGGCTTTTAATGAAGTTGGAAATCCTTATTCAAGTAGTGGACCTTAACTCTTCCTAATATATAGTCTTCCCTGGCACCAGTGCTCTGTTGCTTTTCCAGAGTGCCATTTTCAGTAACATCAGATTATACTCTTACTCTTATTCTTTGTTTGTTTGTTTGTTCTTTGAGACATAGAGTCTTACTTTGTTGCCCTCGGTAGTGTGTCATGGAGTCCACAGCTTACAGCAGTGGTTCTCAACCTTCCTAATGCCTCCTAATGCTTCAACCCTTTAATACAGTTCCTCATGTTGGGGTGTTCCCAACCATAAAATAATTTTCATTGCTACTTCATAACTGTCATTTTGCTACTGTTATGAATCGTAATGCACATATCTGATATGCAAGATATATTTTCATTGTTACAAAGGGGTCACAACCCACAGGTTGAGAACTGCTGGCTTACACCTACCTCAAACTGTTGGGCTTAAGTGATTCTCTTGCCTCAGCCTTCCAGAATGTGGGGATTACAGGCATGAGCCACCATGCCTGGCTTATTCTTGTTTTGTTTTGTTTTTTTTTTATAGAGAGTGAGTTTCACTTTATCACCCTTGGAAGAGTGCTGTGGTGTCACACAGCTCACAGCAACCTCCAGTTCCTAGACTTAGGTGATTCTCTTGCCTCAGCC